GCAGAGGGCTCTGCTGCCTTCACACCCAAGGCCAGTGCTGCGGTCACCTCACCCTTGACCTGGGCCTTGATTCAGCAGCGCCTTCTGTGCACTCGTGCGTGCCTGCACTGCAGCAGGACCAGGGCTCCGACAGGATTTCCCTTCCCCACCCTCGTTTATGGCCAACCAGAGGGATGGGTGCTGGGCCACTCCCTGACCAGGTGCACCAAGACAGGACGGGAGGTAAAGCAGCGCTGCAGAGCCTTCTGGGGCTGGGTCCCGAGGCAGCAGCCCTGTGGTGGGTGCTGGGAGTGGGAGGGGCCAGTCACAGGGCAATGTCGCACCTGTACAGAGTACAGTTCTCCTGCCTGCTAGTCACGAGTGAAGCACCCAACATTCTTTGCATATTCCCTATTTAAACAACCCTTTCTCTTCCAGTTAACCAGGGCTTTCTCTTGCTGGTGATGGAGAACAACACCTTACATAGAAACTGGAGCCTGGACTGGCCACAGGCAGGGGCTCTGGGGGGAGAGTTGGGAAAACTGGAATTGGTTATGGGGATTGCTTGGGGATGAGTTAGTAAAAATGGGCACATGGTTAAGACAGCTGTAGAGGCCTGTGGTCTATAGCTGGAGTCAGGGTACGTGTTGTGCAGCCAGAGAGAATGTTAGCTCTGCCATTTGGGGTCACCTGGACTGAATATGAAGACATGTGTCTTTGGTCCTTAGAAGGAAATCAAGGAAGGATTCCATTGTGGGAGGACCAGGGGATAATATCTTAAACTCCTGAATTCTTTTTTTGTTTTGTTTTATTGTTGTTATTTTTTTTTTGAGACATGATTTCTCTGTAGCCCTGGCTGTCCTGAAATTCACTCTGTAGACCAGGCTGGCCTCGAACTTGGAGATCTGCCTGCCTCTGCCTCCTGAGTGCTGAGATAAAAGGCGTGCACCACTAATGCCGGATTCTTACTCAGTACCCAGATTAAGAACTGAGGGCACAGCAAGGCTCTGGATTCCATCCTCAGCATCACATGAGCAGAACAAAATAAACTGAGAGCAAACCCCAAGGACTTCTGCCACTTCCCTGAAAGTTCCACAGAATTCTTGCAGCCTCAGGACAGAGTTAAAACTGAAACCCAGACCCGACCTGTATAACGGCGAATTACATCCTTAGCAGGGGATCACAACCCCTCAGGAGCATCTCGGGATACTCTGAACCAGGATCCCCGCAGAGATCCTCCACAGCTAGTGAAGGAAGAGATGGGGGATGGATGGATGAACGGATGATAGTGTGTAGATGGATATTGGATGGGTAAATGAGTGGAGAGATGACAGGTGGATGGATGGATGGATGGATGGATGGATGGATGGATGGATGGATGATGTTGAATGGATGGATAAGTGGATGACAGGTAGATGCTAGATGGGTGATCATGTAGATGGTGGGTAGATAAGTGTAGATAGAGAGGTGGGTAGATGATGGGTAGATGGATAGACAGGTAGGGCATTGTGGATAGATGAATGAATAGATAGATGAGTAGATGGCTGGAGGATGGATGAATGGGTAGAGGATAGGTGAACAGTGGGTGGGGAGATGATGGATAGATAAATGGATGATGGGTGGATTAATGGAGGATGGATGACTGTGTAGATGATGGGTATGTGGAAAGATGGTGGATGGGCAAATGGATGGCTGAATATGTAGGTGGGTGGGTGAAGGGTACACAGAATTGGATGTCTGACACCTGAGGCTGCACCTGACATTACCAGGGCCCATGGGAATACAACCTATGAGGTCTTTAGACTACAGTCAAGTTTATTTAAAGTTGAACACTGTGAAGACTGCTTTTTTATACCAGTAAAGCTCCAGAGGCTCCAGATTGGGCTGTCAGTGTGCACACTGAAGATGCAAGGACTGTCATGGGGTCCCACAGGATTTACGAGTGCAGTTGTACTTATCAGTGCCTCTGAATTCAGGATGCTGTCCCCATTGGTGAGGGTGGCTCTGACAGCTCCCCACTAGCTTGCTGGAAAGCAGCTGAGCAGAAGTATGGTCCACACTGACCAGGGTGGACACACAGTACCCAGCAGTCCACAGGGACACATCTTCTAGAAGGGTTTAAGTTTGTTGCTCAGTAGTCTGACGAGGCCCCAACTGGCCAGAGACATGTAGCCTCCCCAGCCCCACATCTGACCTGGTTCTCAAACTCAGAACTTCTTATGGGGAGGAAGTGGTCTGGCCCGTGAATGTCCCTCAAAGGGAACGTTGCCACTTGTAGGGGGACCAGTTACACCCTATGGGACTATGGGTGGGGATTAGAACTCAGTGAGCCCAGGTGAACTGAACAGAACAATAAATAGGACAGCACCTGTTGTCGCCCCAGTGAATCTGAACCCCTTTGCTCTATCAGGTTCTAGCTTCACCTCACTGCACTGCTGTTAGCCATTGGCTGGACACTGAGAAGAGAGAATAAATCCGTCGTTTACCAGGCCAAACACGCTGGGCAGGCTTTTACCCTTGGGTCTCTAACTTGTGTAGCAGTTCTGTGAGACTATGCAAATAGAGGAAACAAGGCTGCAATGGGGACCTGGCATTCATCGCTTTGTCTTTTCCACTGTGGGTTTCAAGCTCTTCCATTAATAGAACGAGGTGACAAATACAGAGAGTGGGACATGGTATGGGTGACACACAAGAGATGAAGAAGTGGGACAGATGGCTCAGGGATGAGGGATAGACTAGATGGATGGATGGGCGGGGGAGGGAGGGATGGATTCATGGACACATGTGTGAGTGGGTGAGTAGATGGGTGGGTGGTGGATAGACATGAGAAACGGATGTGGGTGGATGAGCAATAGATGAACATGTGAGTAGTAGACGGATGAATGGGTAGGAAGATAAATGGATTAGGAATTAATGGATGGATGAATTGGTGGATGTGTAGTTGATAGATGAGCAGTTGGATGAATGGCAAAAACACAGATGGATGGATGGATGGGTAGATGAATGTGTTGATGAGGGCATGTGTAAATGAGGGGGTGGATGGATGGATGAATGCATGAGCAGACAGACAAGTGGGTAGGTGTGGGTATATCTGAATGACGGATTGGTGAGTGGATGGACAGGCAGATGGATAAGTGAGTACACAAATGGATGTGTATATGAATGAGTGGTGGGTAAAGGAATGATGGGTAAATGGATGTACAGAAGGAATGTGTGAATGGTGAGTGGATGGATGGGTAGATAAGATAGAAGAGTAGACAGCCAAATGAGTAAATGTACGTATGATGGATTGGTTGGTGGGTGGGCGGGCAGATGAGTGGATGAGTAGACAAGCAGATGTATATATGACTGATGGGTGATGGAGGGGCCTCTACCTCAGCAGACTTGGAGTGAAATGAAGCTGGACACACATAGAAGGTATTGGACATGATCTCAGACTCCATTGGTCTCCCCAACCAGGAAGGCGATGGGCCAAACAAGGGACTAGTGAGAAAGTGAAACCTCTTGTCAACAGTGGCACCTCGAGTCTATAGTTCTCCAGCCACTGAGTATGCAGTGAGTGCACTCACACAGAAGGGCTGGCCTTTGGAGCAGACACACTTCCTCTTTCCGAGAACAGACAATGACCTTCCCAGCAGTCTTTTCCGAGTGACTGCGACAGATACATCAGATACCTGTGAGATGCTAAGGAGCAGTGACTAGAGTAAGTCCTGTGGCTTTTCCTTGAAGTGTTACCATGGAGACAAGGGAGGCAGGAAGAGGATGCTGAGCCAACACTCAGGAGGCAGAGACAAGAAAACCTCTACAAGTTCAAGGCCAGCTTGGTCTACATAGTTGGACTCCAGGCCAGTCAGGGCTTGGAGTGAGGTTCTGTCCCAACCCTGCCCCTGATCCCCCCAAAAAGAGAAAATACCTTCCTCAACAGAAGAGTTTGGGGGGAAGAGTTTTGGGGGGAAGAGGTTTTGGGGGAATGCCATTTTAGCGTGACAATTTGGGGGCCCACTAGGTCCCTGAAGGTCCACAGATTTAGTGTGTCTACCTGGCAAGAAACACAGGTAAGAGGACTGATCCAGACAGCATTTCTGGAAAGTTCCTGCTATCATCCATGAAGTAGCCCAGCTGTTAGCAGCTGTCAAGATGTCTCATGTCCTGGGGCCAGCAGCTGTCTCAATTCCTATGTCCTGCTGAGTCTCCTCCCACTCCCGTGCCCTCCCTCCCCAAACCAGCACTGGCTTTGGTGTTTTTTTGTTTTTTGAGACAGGGTTTCTCTGTGGTTTTAGAGCCTGTCCTGGAACTAGCTCTGTAGACCAGGCTGGTCTCGAACACACAGAGATCCGCCTGCCTCTGCCTCCCAAGTGCTGGGATTAAAGGCGTGCGCCACCATCGCCTGGCCCAGAATATTTCTTTATAAACTGGCATCCAAGGCTCCATGGGAAGAGAAGACTATATGGTTGGAGTGTTGCTCAGTGGGAGTCTGTGTGCCTAGCACATGCTGGGTCCCTCTCCAGTACAAAAAGAATAGGATGAAGAAATAGCACAGGACTCTAGGGCTGAACCCTGGCTGGCACCAATCCCTTCCCTTCCCTTCCCTATGCCTGGCTTAAGGTCACATAGCAGGTTTAGGGCTGAGTCCAGCCCAGAACTTTGCCCTTTTTTTATGAATCCCACAGTCCCTCCAGGGCCTCCTCCAGTTCCCCACACGTCACCCCTACAATGCAGGGATTCCACATTCCCCTGGAGACTCCTGTTCAACAGAAATCAATCTCTCCGCAGGAAGAGATCCAGGGGTCCTGGGGTCAGGTCGTGCTATGGAGCCAGGACCAACTCTCCCTCTCCCTGAGACACAGGCTTGCTCCTGGAGCCGGGCCAAAATATGCACGCGGGTAAGAGTGTCTGGGCACATGAGGATGCCCGGTGGTGCCTAGCCTCCCTGAGTGAGAGGAACACGGAGCAAGCTGCTGGCGCATCCTGCCAACATAGAAAGGTTAATTGTCACACCCGATGCCAACAGACAGACTTCCGGAGGATTCGTTTGGTTTGGTTTCGTGGCTTTTTTTTTTACAACTTTAAATATGGAATATAAATAAACTTTACATTTAAAAAATAAAAAGAAAGCCCCCAAAAATATAATCACCAACTTTACAAACTGAAGGAAGCGGACCTGGGAGGGGGAGGGAAAAGTGCAGGGGGAAGTTGGGGGGGAAGTGGGTGCGTCAACCCCAGTCCTCCTGAGGGCACTATGGCTCTCCCTCTCTCTCCCGCTTCCAGTGTACCAGCTAGCTTCCTGGAAGAAGCCATCAGGTAAAACCACAAAAGATCTGAGGGGCAATGTGCACACAGGGAAGAGGGCAGCCAGGACGGCCCCTCCCTTGGGGAGCTCCTGATATCCCGCACCTGCCAGGAAGGGAACAGCTGAAGGAGGCAATGGGCAAAGACTGTGTTGCTCCCCCAGCACCTGAGGCTCATTCTGAGCTTCAGGCTGGGTCAGCGCGCACACAGCCAGTCTGCATAGGGCGTCAGTGTGAATTAAAACACGGCCTCCTTTCCTCAGAGGCTTGACATACATCTGCTAGAAGGTCATAATAGACAAATCGGCCATGTTTAGGGTGTGAACAGAATTCTCCACATGCAGTGCCCATGTGCAATACACATCCCACACAACCTTACGTGGCTGTCTTGGCTGGAGAGGAATAAGACAGACGGGTCTCCTGCCTTAAGGGAGAATGGTAGGGTCGTTCAGAGCCTCAATCAGCACCCCTGGTGGAGCCGACTGAAGGGTACATGAGGAAGAAGACACAGAGCGGAGGTAGAGAAATGAAACAAGAGAGATGCAAGGGAGGTGGAAAGAGGCAGGGGATGTGGCCCAGGTCACAAGCACACTGCATCTCCAATCCATCAGAGAAGGCATGTGGCCACCTGCCCAGAGGAGTTCGTTATCTTCCTTGATTTCATACTTATAAAATGAAAAGCCACTATGGGCTAAGGGGACAGGGAGAGATGAGTGGCGGATCCGGGTGCTGAGAGGTTTCCTCTAGTCTGTGCTCCCCCTGTGGTCCTGGCCACAGGACTACAAGGGACCCTAGCCTGCCTGAAAGTGCTCCCTGCTGGCTGGCCAGGGGTCCAGGAATCAGGCGGGACATGCAGAGGCTCTCAGACCAAATCCCAGGCTCCTGGGGCCAGTCCACAGTCCCCCGTGAGGCTCCCGCACACTTGTCCCACGTTCTCGGGGTCAAGGGAAGAAGCAGCATGGAATGGAGCCCTTTGTTTGCTTCTGGAGTCGCAGCTCCAGGACGGGCCGAAGGACTGTTGCTGGTGGAGGTGGCCGGGCACGCGGGATGAGGGAAGCACCATTGGCCGTCCGAATCAGGCATCGAGACAGACGGACGAGGGGAACAACATTATCACTCCAAGGACCCCATGGGGGCGATACAGCAAATACCATATTAAATAACCCTGCGGGTAGAACAGACAGACACAGGGTCAGAGATGGCTCAGGGGTTCCCTTGGCTCCTAGGACCCCATACCAAGAACAGGAACTGATGCTCCTACTTTCCTGCTTCCAACAGACCCCAGGGCTGGGATGGGGGAGTCATGGGAACTGGAGTGGAAGGACAGACATCCTCTTCGGGAGGCTGAGAGGCAGTTAGGCAGAATGACTGGGTTGAAGAGAGCAAATGTCCCTGCTGGCCCTCACCCCAAATCTAAGCCACAGCCACGGAGTATCTGAGCCTTGGCTTTCTGGCCAGGTCCTCACCTGCCCACACGCTTGCCGATGCCCCTAAGCCCCGAGGGTCTCCTTCAGTGCCTCCTTGTCGTGTGTGTGCTTAAATTTTCGATGCTTCCCTTTGAGGGGCCGGCGGACTCGCACCGTCCGAACAGTCACCCGAGTTTGAGGTGTCTTGGCTGCTCAGGAAAAAAAAAGTACTTGTCAGCATGGGATGGTCATGGGGTATTCTTCTTGTACCCGAACACCTGTTGTGAGCCTTAGGGCTGGCTCAGGAAGAGGTCAAAGCCAAGCCCGCCTGCTCACCAGCTGTGTCTTCTGGGGATGTGACTGAACCTTTCTGTGACTCAGTTTCTCTGAGTGAGGCAAGAGGATGGCCATCTCATGGGAAAGGAGGGGGGTGGACTACATGACAATATGCTGGCCAAGCAGTGCCTGACCCAAGAGGTTAGGTTTCAATGTGGGCCCCAAGTCCTGTCACTGCCCAGAGATGGAGGGACGTATTTTCCCATTTCCTGCAGGTGGCCTGGCCCCGGGTCCCTCAAACCCAACAGGAGGTCCTGCTGGTACCCTGTACCCATCAGGCACCTGTCTTCAGAGGATGGGCACAGCCCACTTTTGTACTTTGGTCACCCTGTCTCATCATATGAAAAATCTGGCTAGAGAGGTTGCTTGGGGACTGGTCCTCTTGCACCACAGGTGTGGCTGTCCCCTCCAGCCACAGCGAGACTTCAGGAAGACCAAGGAAGCTACCCAAGGAGCTTAGCTCCTACTCAGCGCTGCGAGGCCGGGTTCCGCCACAGTACAGCATGAGTGACAGCCCCTCGCCAATGTGACGCCCCTGCTTCCCATCTCCCTGGCTAGCGTTCCTACTGAGACCGCTGCCTCCAACCTCTGGTTCCTCTAGCCACAAGGTGAGGAGGAAGCCTCTGGGTTTCAAGCCAGAAACAGACTTTCTTTGGAGCTGGGCCTGTCACTCAAATTCCTGGGCACTCTGAGAAGAAGAATGGAGGGCTGGGCCACAACTTAGAAGGCGGTCAGCCCTGGGCCTGACCTGGACTCTTCCAGGGACTATGTGCCATGGGGAAGGACACTGGACCACTCAGTGCCCATGTCTTTAAAGGACCGGTGGCCTCCTAGGGCTGAGCAAGTGCATCAAAAGAGCCAGAACCCCAGCAACACCTGCTATGCACCCGATTCCACTATAAGCTCCTTTATTTTCACAGTGGGTATTATTCGTCCTACAGTGTTGGGGAAACTGAGGCAGAGAGCTATGTTTGAAGCCCTGGGATCTAACTGTGCTTCACACTTCCAATACCTGCTTGAACTGACAGTTCTTGGGAGCCCTGGTCCACTTTGACTCTCAACTACTCTTCCTTCTGGTCTCTGGGAAGCCACGCAGGAGGCCAGCACTTCCTGGGAGTCACTGGAGAGTCCCTGGCCTCCGGCTAGTGTGACAGTTTCGCCAAGCTTTCCCTGCAGTGTAGAGATCTAGGGGAGCTCAGATTATCTGGAAGGATGACACCTAGGAGGTCAGGGATGAGCCCCCCAGAGAGCTTCTATCCCAAAGGCCAGGCCGTGCACAGGAGGCTCGGCTGGCCCAAGCCTGAGTCCATTTACGTAACTCACAAATGACAGATGTTTGAGCCTAGGAATTCCAAAGAGCCAGCACTGACCTGTGCTGTACCAGAGATGAGGCTGGAGGAGTTCCTCAGTATTCTGAACATTCCAGCACTAACACTTAGGAATTCTTCTAGTGTACAGATGGTAAAGCAGGCAAGTAAAAGCCAAAGAGCTGCCGGGGCAGGGGAGAACCATGAAGATGGAATCTCAGGACACCAATGGCCTAGGATAGGCTGTGTGACCTGGAACAAGGCCCCAGCATCTTTGGACCTCAGGTACCCCCACTACGAAAACAGGAGGAGCCGCTGAGACTTTTTCAACACAGATCTGTCCGACACTTGTGGAAACAAAGACATGAACCCATCTGATGGATGCTTGACCACCAGACTCAGCTGTCTACCAGACCAGGCTCTATAGATGCCCAGCCTTTACTTGTATATCTCCAGGATAACAGAAGTGAAGAGGACTGTTTGGGTTAGTAGCAAGGGCAGGGGCAGCAACCTCACTCAGGCTAGGAAAAATCTAGATTGTTCTCAGTGAGATCAAAAGTATCAAATAAATTTACTCATAGATGTTATCTATCTGATCTCTATTAATAATTTATGTGCATGTGTGTGTGGTATATGCATTGTATGGGTTCAGTTGTGTGCACGCGTGAGCATGTGTGTGTGTGTGTGTGTGTATCTATACACATAGGCACACAGATGAAGTCAGAGGCTGACATCAAGTGTCCTCCTCAATTGCTCTTCACCTTATTTTCTTTTTTCTTTTTTTTTTTTTTGGTTTTTCGAGACAGGGTTTCTCTGTGGTTTTGGAGCCTGTCCTGGAACTAGCTCTGTAGACCAGGCTGGACTCGAACTCACAGAGATCCGCCTGCCTCTGCCTCCCGAGTGCTGGGATTAAAGGCGTGCGCCACCAACGCCCGGCCTTCACCTTATTTTCTGAGGCAGGGTCTCTCACTGAACTTGGAGGTAACCAGCAGCGAGGCTGGCGTCTGATGATGCCCTGGTATCCACCCATCTCTACTTTCCCAGTGTGGGATGACAGACACACCCACCATGCCTGACCAGCCCTACCAAGGACTTAAACTCTGGTACTCCTGCTTGCTCGGCAAGCACTCTCCCCACTCTCCCCAGCCTCCTGACCCCTATTTAGAGACCCACCCTTTTCCCAGCTGTGGGCTGAGCCCCACATAGGAAGGCGTTTTACCTCGCTGCTCCCGGGATGTCCCAGGGCTCCGAGTCACAGGCCGAGGGGTCACTATTGTCTCACACTTGCAGGCCAGGTGGTCCTCCAGGGTCACTGTGGCCTTCTTGAAGATTGGCTTCTTCCGTACAATCTCAATCTTTCTCACCTGGGGGACAGAACGAGCAAAATTCCCCTGTAGAAGCCACCTGTGCCGGAGCCGTCTCACAGGCCTGGCAGTCTTCTGCGCTAGGTTCTTTCCTCGAAAGCCAAACGCCAGGCTTGCCTGCAGAGCCAGGGCTCTGGAGCAAACAATAGCAAGGCCTTGCCCTCGGTCCCTCTCAGAGCTTTTCCATCAAAACAAGCCCTTCGACCTAGCTGACCTGGCCTCAGCTTTGCTGTAGCAACCCCCCCCCCATACCCTGACCCCCCAGAGTGGGAGAAAGGCATTTCCGGGTAGAGCCTGAGTCCTGTGGGTCCTCATTCCTGGAGCAGAGCACTGGCCAAGGCCAGAGGCTGCAGCAGAGTGTGTGTGTGTGGGGGGGGGGGGGGGGGGGGGGTGGGGGGGGGGGGGGGGGGGGGGGATGGTTATCTGGAAGGAAGTGAGGCAGGCCTTATCTAGAAGAGAGGCAGGAGGGGAGAAGGCAGCTGTCAGGTGTCTGTCCCTAAAGCTGGGGACAGGAGATATGGTGGCAGTGGGTGGGGACGCATAGCATGTCATTCACTTGTAATCTGGGGCACAGCGAAAGGCCAGGAATGGAAGACAGGCAGGAGACTGGGCACAGGCCACAGGCAGACAGCAGAAAAGAGAGCATGGTCACGTAGTCAGGGCACTGGGGAGGGCTGGTGCTAAGCCTTGTACCGTGTGCCCAGGGGAACCTGAAAAGGGGAGGCTGACCCAGGGTACTGAGACCTGGTCTTGCAGAGTTAGAGATAGCTGAGCTTCCCTGTGCCCTGCCGGGTCCACATGAGAACAGGAGCTTCAGAGACTGCCTCTAGTTCCTTCCTACAGACTAGCATCTGCGCCCCCCCCCCCCCCCCCCCAAAAAAAAAAACAAGGTGGCCACAGTGCTTGCCACCTGGAGGACACTCTGTGCCACCTTCGTTAAAGACGAAGCTTGCAGAAAAGACAGATAAAGTCCCAAAGTGTAGGGGGGTTCCTGAGTATGATAAATCACTGAGGGGACCTGGGCAGTTGTCCTGAACATTCTTAATGTCAGATGTTTGAAGACAGGAGCTCTGTGTTGTGTCCCTGTAGAGCAGGTGACACTGGTCCACCACTTAGCATTGCACACCCAGCCACATTCTGTCTGCCTCTCAGTGACTACGGTCTGAGACGCGTCTGAGACGCCTAGGAGAATGCGTGCGTCCCGAACACTCAGCAAAAGCCCTCCAACCCGCGGCCGCTGGTCTGCTGCTGGGGCGGAGCCCGACTCCTGGCGCGGGGCGGGACGGGGCGGAGTCTGCGCACCTGCACTGGCCTCATCTGCACTTGCGAGGCCCGGCACTGCACGTTGCGGTTGTTGCAGCAGCCAGAGCAGCGCTGCACCTCCACGCAGGGTGGCCACACCAGGAAATTGGCGTTGGTGCGATCGATGAGGTTCCGTGAGATCTGGAACACCTCTGTGCGCGTCTTGCACTCGGCGATTACAGCGGGCTCTGCGGCTGCCAGGGAACCTGAGGGCGGGCGACAAAAGAGGCTGTCAGGAGAGGAAGGTCTTCTTTGGAACCAACCCCCATCCTGACAGCCCTGAACTTGGGTAGATGGCTGGACAATCCTGAGCCTCAGTTTACATCATCTGACAACGAGGACAATGACCCCCAAGAAGCATGGCCAGGATCAGGCCAGATCATCCCGTGTGATCTTGTAAATGTTTAGTGCATGCCTGTCCCACCATCCTGGATCCCAATTGTTCAGATTCACACGGCTGTGTGATTGGCCCACCTGAGTCCTCACCCACTGTTAGCCTGCCCGCTTGCACTGGTCTTTTGTTGTTGTTTGTTATTTTCATGATCAAACTATCCAGGATAGCACTGACTGTCCTGGAGCGCACTCTGTCAACCAGGCTGGCCTCGAACTCACGGAGATCCGCCTGCCTCTCTGCTTCTGCCTCCAGAACGCTGGGATTAAAGGCTTGCACCACCAGCGCCTGGCTGTACCGCCCTATTCTTATGTGACTCTTTCAAAGTCTCATCTGCCTCATCTGTGAAATGGGATAGCGGCAGAGCAATGCCTCTTCCCTGAGCTGAGAGGAAGAGGGTGGGTGAAGCCTACAGCAAGTGCTCAGTCATCCCCAGAGAAAGGTTAGCAGATGGCAGTGGGGCTCGGGGACCTGCAGGATCTGCCAGCCACATCTCCAGGGACTTGGAAACTGTAGGTGGCTTCTCCAAGACCTACAGATCTACTGGCTTGGTCTCTGCCAAGGAACAACTGGGCTTAGTGCCTCTGCACTAGGCCACAGTGTAGCCCTGAGCCACAGTGGACAGAGGACCCACCCAGAATACCTTGGGCTCAAGTGCGTCGAGTAAGGGCTCAGTCCTTCCATTCCAGTTTCCCCACCCTGGTTTCTAGGCCTTTGGATTGGAACTGACTACATCTATTCCAGGGTTGGAGTGAGGAAGCGGTGAGTGCAAAGGCAAAGGCAGAGGTAGGCAGATCTCTGGGAATTCGAGACCAGTCTGGTTTACCTAGTGAGTTCCAGGCTAGCCAGGACTATGCACTAAAACCCTGTTTCAGAAACAAAAAGACCCAAGCCACTATATTTTAAAAGCACAACATGGGGTACAGGGCATGGTAACTCAGCTTCAAAGATGGCTACACTCCTCATTCAGTTCTTACAGTAGGGAAGGGATTTGGAAGGTGACCCCAATCCAGGATGGCTGTGTGCCCTGGTCTTCCTTCCCTGGATCCCACTCTTTGAAGGGCCACTATATGGACCTCCGGTTTTACCTAGGCTCCTCCTCCCTCGAGATGAGCTTTCTGGCTCTCCTCCAGAGTGGGCTCGGGTCATGTTCAGGTCCAGCTCGGCCCCATTTTCATCTGCAAGGGAAAGGAAGCATAGTCAGGCATGCTGGCCCAGGCTGCTACCACAGCATGTAGGATAGCATCTCTACACTCCGGGACACCGCCCTTCGTGCTCTCAAAACCTGAGGTCCCTGGCCCTGAAGAGGCAACCAGGCAAAGCCTTGGGCAGCTGAATGGCTCATGGGGCTGGTGGGGCCTGACTGCATCTTTGGGAGCCTCCAGCGAGTTTTTAGCCCCATTTTTGGCCAGAACCCATGTCAATGGAGTTAAAAATAACCCTTCCCCTTTGCTACTGTCAGCGAACCCTCCTCGGCCTCCAGGGTGGAGCAGGGACCCAGAGCACTGGAGGCCAGTTCCCAGTGCCCTCCAAAGCGTTCCCATAGGAAGTGCTGGTTGGAGAAATTCCCAGAATCCCCTCGGGGCTAGCAGGCCCAGTACAGCCTGCTGGAGCCTTGACAATGGCCCTACTGGTCTGGAGAGAAAGGGTGGTGAGGGAAGGGGGTGGGAGGGCCTGCGCCAGCCACACTAGGTCGGCTCTCTCCCCAGCTTTCATCTTTCTGGGCTTCTCTTCCTGTCACTAGCCGAAGTTCCCTTCTCTAAGCTGGAGTCTGCTACCAGCTCTCCTTGGTGACACCTCCACCCACACACCTCGCTGCCCCGAGACATTGGCCAGGGCTGCCCACTCTTCCTAGGATGGCAGGGTGGTGAGGAGGCTTTGAACTTGATCCTGATGGTGGACAGCCCCTCTTGTCTCTCAGTGGTGAAGATCAGCAAATGAACTGAGGGATGCTGGAGACAAGCCTCTGCCACCTCCTTATGGCACCTGGGGGGACCATATATTATCTTCCCCAGCCGGCTGGTCCCATCAAAGGCAAAGGCTTCTGCCAGCTGCCGGCCTATCTAGGATTCCAGGGGTCCCGCAGATCACCACTGACTGATTGGTCTGCTTTGTCCAGCCCAACAGTGTTAACTACGTCAGCCTGTCTGTCTGTCCCTTATTCTCTTTCTCACTGCCATCTCTGGAATGCCCCTGGTGGGGACGAGAAGGGGAGAGATGTACTTTGTGGAAAGGTTAAGTTGATTAGGAAAAAATAGCCACATGGTTGCCTCAAAACAGACCTGCTATTGAAAACCTCACATTCAAGATCCCGACCCCCACCAGGGGTGTGGAGGGGCTGCCCGAGCTGGGCAGCAGAGCGCCTTGGAAAGAAACAGCAAGATGGCTAAATTTGGAAGTTGCCCCATTGTGTGGCCAGGGCTGGTCAGCCGGGCACGGGTGGGAGACATCGGGTGGGGGCCCTAGTGAACAATAGGGGGGCCCAGCTGGGCCCCCTCCTGCCTGCCTTGCCACCCCCCAGCCCAGGCAGTATTGAAAGGGCCCGGGAATGCTTTTGAGAAGGAGCCAGGGGCCCAACGGAGAGAGGAAACAAAGGCAGGAAATGCTGTTCCCCCGTAGATAGCGTCTGGGCAAGAATTACAAAGTGACAAAGAGACAGGACCCCAGAGGGACAAGGGCCCGCGGGTGCGTGGGGGTGGGGGGCTGGGGGGCTGCTGAACAGGGCTCTAGGGACCAGGCCAGAGGTCAGAATAGAATGGAATTTGCTCTGAAGACTGCATTTATAAATACATTCCCAGCCCAACCCGCCGGCCCCGCCACGTGTGTGCCACCAAGCACGTGCCCATTCGCCCAGTGCACTCTTGGGCATGGGCAGAGCTGCCAGCTGGTCTTGGCCAGGTGTCCCCAGGAGACCTTGTCGACCAGGCCCTGGGCCAGAGGGGCAGGGAGATGTCTTCTATAGCTCCACCCTCTTCACCTGGATAGGTATTTAGTACATGCTCTGAGTGCTTTTTTTCTGCCCGCCCTGCTCCAGGGACCCCACCCTCTGCACCAAGCCAGAATCACACGTGGGTGCTGCTTCTGCCACACCCCATGTCCCAGGTACCAACCCGTCGGCCTGCTCTGCCCTGCCCTGGGTAGGTGCGGTCAGGCCTTCACTGGGATGTGCCATGGATCTAGCTCCCTGATGTCAAGAGGGGTGCCCCTGCCTGCCCCTCCCCACTCTCCCAGCACCAGTGGAGGCTGAGGTTCTGGAGGAGGATGCGATTTACCTACGGAGTCTCCATGCAGCAGGCGCTGGAGGTCATCAAAGGAGCGGATGGAGCGGTCACTCAGCATTTCATAGAGTTCCTCTGGAATGGGGTCCCCCTGTTGGGCAGACACCAGGAACTGAGTAAACTGGGGTGAAGGCTCACCAGGCATGGCTCTCTTACCAACCACATGCTTTCTCTTGCACAGAGTTCCTACGAGGCCCCTCTGTCCCCAGCAATAGGCAGTAAGGCTGGAGTAGGTGGGATGCGAGGCTGAGCCAGGAGCAGAAGCCCAAAGGCTTCAAGAGCTAAATCCAGACTGAGATGCCCCACCCCAGTCCTCCACAGTATCCAGACTTGCCCCCAGCTCCAAGGCTTGTCTACATCTGTCTCCCCCATCAGATCACAGGTCCTGGAGAAACTCCAACAATCTCACTTCTCGATACGCTCCCTCCACACCTGGTAGCTAAGACATGCACACCGTATGTGCAGGGGCCCCCAAACCCAGTGTGAGCAGAGGCTTCACGCAGACAATGACAGTGAAGTGTGTTCTCCAGCTCCCCGCCCCCCCCCCTGCAGCCCAAGAGATGCTTAATAATGCTTGCTGAGTTGTGAGGTCTCAGAAGGCTGTGTGTCCCAGTGCTACCGACGTAGTCCCTGCCAAAGAGGAAACAAGGGAATCCTCAGGCCCAAACGGGGAACCTGAGCGCTTACCCATGCATGCCCCATGCCCAACCAAACGCTATTTTTAGAGTCCCTCTGGCCTGTCACCAAACACTTGAAACTTAGTTAGAACCTTAACAGGCCTCACTACAAGCCAGCTTCCTCTGGGGGAAACCACAGGTCCCACAATCACATCATACAGCTGGAGAGAGAGGTCACCGCCACATCGCCACAGCTCCAGGAGTCTCAAGAGCCTGGTGCCAAAGGCTACAAGAGGTGAGGGCAGAGGGGACTGGGAAGTGTCCTCACAATAAGGAGCAATGGAAGGACGCAAGATGCCAAGACATGTCTAAAGGCTGTGGCCATGATGAGTGCACACGCACGTGGTACATACATACATGCAGGCTTGTGACAAGACCGTGCAGTTTGTGCCTCAGTTTCCCTGGACTGAGAAGTGAAGAAGCCCTGCCCTGTGTTCACTGAACCATGCTGGGACAGGCACTTTGAGTACTAAGCACAGGCGCGTGCACATGCGTGTGTTTGAGCATGGGGTTTGCTGCTCTCTCACTGTCTAAGGTGGAAAAGAAGCTCTTGCCCCTGGCCAGCTGGGGGAATCTCCTCAAAAGCTGCATGTCTCGTCTCAGACACTTGTTGAGAGCCAGGTGCATGATGCCCCATGCCCACCTATGTTCCAAGCTACTCTGGAGGCAAAGGCAAGAAGATCTCTTTTTTGTGTGCTTGCTGGTTTTGTCAACCTGACGCAAGCTAGACTTGATTGTGAAGAAGGAACCTCAATTGAGAAAAAAGTCCCTATCAGACTGTGGGCAAGCCTGGGGGGTATTTTCTTGATTGGCTGACTGACTGATTGATGTAAGAAAGCCCAGATCCCTGTGGGTGGGTGGGACCACCTGTGGGCTGGTAGACTTGTGGCCTATAAGAAAGCAGGCTGTCAAACCATGAGGAGCAAGCCATTAAGTAGCCGCCCTCCAGGGTGTCTGCTTCAGTTCCTGCTTCCAGGTTCCTGCCCTGCTGGTAGGTGCTGTGGAACTGCAAGCTGACATAGATTCTATCCTCCCCAAGTTACTTTTGGCCATGGTGTTATCATACAACCAAAAATCTAAAGCAGTTTGGGTTTGCTTTTTTTTTTTTTAAGACATGGTCCTATGCTGCCCTAGCTGGATAGCATGAAACTCAAAAACAGACTAAGATAGCCGTGAACTCAACGATTCACCTGCCTCTACTAAGTGCTGCGATTAAAGATGTGAGTACGCCTAGCAGGAAGATCGTTTGAGGCCAGGAATTCCAGGCTAGCCTGGGCACCATAGAGAGACCCAGTCTCACTTAACACAAAACAGAAACACCTTGTAGTCCTTGACACTTGTGGTAACGTTTAGAAAATATTCCTCAGGGATTCAGTCATACCCACCTCTGGTCCCCCATGTCAACCTAGGAAGTAGAGGATACAATCTGGGGACTGGGGCGGGGGGGGGCATAACTCCTTGAAATCTGGCTCCTGGGACCCCATTTGTCATCTGGGTCATTTTGTTCAATCATGGAGTTTATGAACCTGCCTGGTATCCTGGGGATGTCAGGAGTTTGAAGGAGAAGCTAGGGTGAGGACAGGGGCTTGGTGACCTATAGTGTCCACAGCTTCACAGTTGGGCCGAGACCTGCAGGCCAGATGTTCAACACTGGTGTAGAGAAGGCCACTGCCCCCGGTTCTGTCAAACTCAGAACTGGTATTCAAAAGACTTGGATCCCTTCCTCACCCTGCCACCATCTGCAGTGTGACCTCCAGCTAGCCACTGCATCTCTCTCTGGTTTGGGCTCTTATCTATGAACTGAGGATGTTAGAAGACATTGGATTGCGTTCTAATTCTTCCTGGGGGTGGCAGAAGGAGCAGACGCTAGCCGGAGCCAGGATGTGTAAGGTGGCTTGCTTGCCCAAGAGAATGAGAAGTGAGTGGTGGCTCAATCAGCCCTGGGGGGTACTTCTGCCAGGATCTCCTTGTCCACTCAAGGGCTGGCTGGAGCTGCCAGTGAGGCAAAGCAAGCTGAACCCTGAACAGACGAAGTGAACACCTACGGCTTCAGTCCACCAGGCAAAGTATTCCATCACATGGAGAAAAACGCGCTCCTGAACCCCAGATGGAAGCCATGAAGGTGCAAAAGCACTCGGCTCAGTAAACACTGGTGTTCATCCCTTTCTCTCCAGTGCTTCTCTCAGGTGTGGTCCTTCAAGCAAGGCACTGACCAAACAAAATGCTTCACGAAGTGCAGTCCTGAGGCCAGCGTTATCATTAGTCCCATATTCCAGATGGGAGAACTGAGGCTGAGAGAAATTAATCCACAGTCACAAGTCTAGAGACTAGTCAGTGGCAGAGGTGGGTCCCTCCAGGGCCATAGCATGCCTACCTGCTCCTGGCCCACCAGGAAAGTTTCAAACATGCTTCCCTTCTCTTCTGATGATGCCACTGGACCCAGCATCATTTGAGATTCCTGCTGTTACCCTTGTCCCTATCTCTTTCCTTTTTGGTTTTTCAAGACAGTCCTGGCTGTTCTGGAACTCACTTTGTAGACCAAGCTGGTCTCAAGTTCACTGAAATCCGTCTGCCTCTACTTCCCGAGTGCTTGGATTAAAGTCGTGCTTGTCTTACAGCAACGGTCACAATTACACACTGATATCATCTGAAGACATTTTTGGTGGTCATGGCTAGAGTCAGGCTGCTAGCATCAGTGGGTGGTGGTAGGGATACTATTCACCATCCCACAGTATGAAGGATGTCACGAAGGATACAGTATCACTGGTCCCAAATACCCACAGTACCAGAGGTGAGAAACTCACAATAGAGGAGTCAGGGCTCCCCGTATAAAGGGAACCATGGTGCTCAGAATAAATCATCAAAAACCTTACTTTCTGCTGGACGTAACAGCACAGGCCTATAATCCCAGCTGCTTAGAAGGCTGAAGACAGGATTGCAAGTTCAAGGCTACCCTGGGCTAAAGGATAAATTCAACGTCAGCCTGGGCTATGAAACAAATTCAAAGGCCATCTTGGGGCACTTAGCAATACCCTGTCACAGAATAAAAGCAAAGAAAGGGCTTGAGTGTGCCCAGTGGCAGAACAATTGCCTAGTTAGTGAGTTCTGGGTTCAGTCTGAGGAAGACTGACAAAGAAACAAATTGTATCTTTCTCCCTTAAGTAGAGTTAACCCCAACTGGCCCTGAAGTCCCTGGTAAGTGTAACTGTTCAGAGCAGAGCAGCCGGGAATTAAGGGCATTTAACAAGATGTTATTGCTTTCGTCACCAATTCTTTCGTATGGCTCCCTAAGAGCAACATGACACTCGTGGGCCAGACAATCACAACACTTCCAAGGATGGTGACTGGTGGGTGGGTGGAGAGCTGCCATCCCCGGGACAGAGTGTGACTTTGTCCTGTCCCCCACGCTGGGCAACAGGAAATGAAACCTAGCCCCACATTGACACTACCAGGTGCCCTGTGGGCTGGCCTGAGGTCCACTCCAGGATGCTGTCAGAGTCTGTGTGTGTTCTGCCACAGGTTCTGGAAGCCTCTAGGTGGGCACCCGCAGACTCCCCCATACACAGTAAAGGACACCTGACAGCTTGAAGAAGCTGCCCCAGGTCTCAGGCCTGGGGCTCCTGGTAGGACAAGGGTGTGGCGTGGAAGCAGTTGGGGCTAAGCCAGCCTGGCAGTCAAGAGAAACAGCCTCCTCCCTGCCCTGCCCCCAAAGCCAGCTGCACGAGGCACGAGCAAGCGTGAGGCCAGGTGAGTTACCTGCTCCCAGTCAGGCTGGCAGATCAAAAGGGCTTGTACCCCACCCTCCACCTGGGCCCCAGCACAGCACACACACATACACACATAGGCAGACATGCACTCCAGTCTGCTGCCACTGCAGTGAGGAAGATGGGCTCTCTGCCCAGCACCCAGGGCGTTGTCTGTGGCTGGCAGAGGCAGAAGCTGACGAGGCCTCCTAGGGCCTGCCTGCTTGCCGACTTGCGTCTCATGCCGTATTTAGACGAGATGGCAAAGAAGAGCTCTTTGAAGAAGCCCTTTCTGGGTACAATATAGATGCCTTTTGGAGCCAGATTTTCTACCCAGCAGTTCCCTTCCTGGTTCCTGGGATTACCCTCTCTCTCCCTTATCCATCCTCCCACCCCCTGCCGCTCCTGCATCCCAGCCCAGTCCACCAGCCTCCCCTACCTCTGCTAGAGCAAGAGAAAAAAATAAATGTCAAAGCTGGAAGAAAAGGACCCGTCTTAAGGATGTGCCTGCCACCCTGGTGGTCCACTGCAATCTCTGCCTCTCACCTCAACTCAATGGGAGCCAGTTCCCCTGTTATTTGTAACACTAAACGAGTCCAATCTGCTCCATATTTTAGGTGTGGGAAACTGAGGCCCAGCCTGCTTCTCCTTCATTGTCTTTCTACCTCAGTCCTCCCTGCCGACAGTCCAAGTCCCAAGACAGAGAAAGTGTATTGGGATACCTCACCATGGGAGAGGGGCAGGGTTACAAACCAGATGCCCACTGTGCAGTGCACTGTACCATGGGCGGCTGCCCTCAGAGGCCAGGCTTCACCCAGGCTGTGTTAATAAAGCACGCCTGGCCTGAGCCCACTCCATCATTCATGGTTCTTTCCACGCTCCTTTGGTGATTGTGCAGGCTACACGCACTCCACTAACACAGCGGGAATCAAGACAAAAATCCCTCTGGCGCAGTGTGCAGTTCATGGGAGAAAGCAGGAAACAGGCAGCTAAATAAACCAAAAGTTGAAAAGTTGTCCTAGTCAGGTATGATAGTGCATACCTGTAACTCTAGAGGTAGGAAGATCAAAGGTTCACGGCCAGCCCCACATACACAGTGAGTTGGGGGGTAGCCTGGACTACATGAGACCTTGTCTCAAATAAAATATCGGAAAGAAAATATATCACAGAAAAGGCATCAAAAAGAGGGAGGACATCATGAACCCAGAGAGAACACCTTGAATTGATTCCTCCACGCAGGCACGCACTTCCTGCCTCTTGCCTTCAGGCCTCTGGAATCTATCTGACCTTGACTTTCACAATTCCGGGCAGGGGGATTCCAGCAAGTGGGTTTCCCCACCCTCCCCCCATGGCCATTAGGAAGCCAGAAGGAGACTGGGTTGGTGGCTATGGGGCCTCACCACTCCTTCCCGGCAGAAGGGTGCTGAGGCAGACAGATTGTCACATGACAGTCACCTTCTGGGAAGCTAGCTCAGCTGAGAGAGAAGAGGCCTCAGCAGCCTTTTCAGACTCTCCTCCAGCCTGCTTCCAACACCTAGACCTCCCTCTAAATACAGCCAACTTCGGGGTCACCTCCAGAAGCAAGCCCCTCCTTCTGTCTCCCTGCTTGCCTGGGCTGGCCCTATGGGGACAGGGTCCTCAGAATTTCAGTACGCCTCATAGTTATCAGGGAAAGTCAACTGCAAAACGCAATGCAATTGCGGTCCCAGAAGCGTCTATGGAGGAGCAAGGATGAGCTTCTGAGCTGCAGCCTCATTCCCAAATGCGAATATTCATGGCAGTGGAGAAGTGCTCCTGGAGGAAGCTGGGCTGGTTAAGACGGCCTGGGAAGCCGCATTCAGATGTTACAAATCCAGCAGAGCCCCTGGATAGACAAGTAGGGAGGGTGTAGGGAACACACTAGGTAGGCTGCGTCCTTTATGTCTTGGAGGGCAAATGGGTGCTTATTTGAAATGAAAAATGCTTGGCTATCCCAGCACTCTAGGGTCACGCCAACATCACTATCGGCCATCACCATCGGTTACATAGGGGTGGTTGAAAAACCGTTACAGAGAGGCAAAGTTTGAGGGATACCAAGCTGTTCTAACCAGGCCAAAAAAAAATGGGTGCTGCAGAGCCCAGATCAGGATCTGGGATTGTCCCTTCCTCCTTAGATCCCCCCAGGAAGGAAATGGGATGGCTACAGAGGCGGTGAGGTGCCAGGGCCCACGGCGAGCCCACCTGTTGCGTGGGGGCGGGCACCTGGCACTAAGTGTACAGAGGGGCTGTGCGTGCCTGTGTGCGTGCGTGGGTGTGTGAGCGCACGTGTACTCGGGCCGCGCGCGCGTGTGTCCCGCGTGTGCACGGGCGTGGCGGCGGGCGCGCGACCTGGCCGCCTTAGTGCGTGCCCGTCGCTCTGCGCGCCCGCCCGCGGGAGCGCAGCATCGCCTCCGGCCAGGAGTGTGCATGCGTGGGGTGAGTGAGCGAGTCGGGGGCCGGGCGGGGTGGGCTGCAGAGAGCAGCCGCGGGGCGCCGCCGTTCTCAGGACGCCCTGGCACCGGGCCAGCCCCCAGGTCCCCACGGCGCGGCGAGGCGAGGCGGCAGCTGGGGCCTCCCGGCGTCCCCCTCCCCAACAGCTGGCCGCACCCCGGGGGGCTGCAGGCGGAGCGGGGAGGGGGCGTCGCGAGGGGCCTGCTGCGGCCGGGCCATGCCCAGCTTGCTCTCTTTCGGGCTCCGGCCGCGGGGGGCGGCCGCGGAAGGGCGGAGCCCCCAGGGCGGGCGGCCGGCGGCCCTCGAGGAGTCCCAAGAACAAAAGGAGACGGCGACGGCTCCTCCGTGGTCAAAACAACCTGTGCTGGCGGCGGCCCAAGGTCGGACCGCGGCCTCGGAGCCCTCCGCCTTAACCCCTTCCCTGCCGCCGCCGCAGCCGCCGCCGCCTCTGCCCTGCGCTTGGCCGCGGACGACCGGGCTGGCCTTGCCCGCAGCCTACTAGGTGCGGGCTCTGGACCTCAGCGGGCGGAGGCGGGACGGGCCCCGGCCACGCCGCTTTCCCGGCCCTCACCCCGCTCCAGCTCGCGCCTCCTCCTGCCCCGCCCCCTTCCCACCTGGATTCCCGGTAGACTTGCCAACTCACTGCTACGTGAGGCTGGGAGGGGTAGGGGCACCGATCCCACCTGATCGCTCCCGCAGACGTTTCCATACCCCACCTCCCTTGCAGCTAGGCTTCTGCAGGCGCGCGCTCCGCAGCCTGCATGCGGGGGAGAGAGGTGCTTCCTCTCGCAGGGCGCCGGCGCAGGTATGGCCGGGCCTCACACACACACACCGCCCCTGGGGCTGGATTCCTTAAGAACTCTCCCCCCCCCTCCCCCGCGCGCGCGCCCCAGTCCTGTCTGTACTCCAAGCGTCTGAACCTACCGTATGTCTGTCTGCCTGTCTCTCAAGTGTCTCTGTCTCTCTCTGGGCCCCAAGATACAAGGTGCTTTTGGACCGTCCAGCACGACCCCGAGGTGCCCACCCTAGCCCAGAGCAGAAGCTTGGGTGGGACCAGAACGCTCTCCAAAGGTCTCCGTGGATATCCTGAGATCGAGGGCGCACACCACTAGGGCAGGCCGGGTCCTGGGCAGAACCAAAGCCCACGCTGGTTCCAAATGGACTCAGGAGATCGCGATGTCTTAGACACCCTAGATACCACCCCACCCGTTCTCCCCTGGCCGGGAAGGAGCTTAAGAGCTCTGGCTCATGAGGCAGAAGGCAGGGCAACACACACCTCCCAGGACGCCACGGAGGTTTAGGGATCTAGGTTGGTCTACTGTAAAGAGAAACCCACCGCTGTCTCGTCATATATTCCAGAACCCTGGACCTGGCCTCCCAGCCCTTGGGGCCACCCAGTGCCCGGCGCCTGGCTCACGCGCTGCGGGGCTCCAAAGTTCACTGCAGGGAGAGGAGGGGGCGGCCAGGCGTGGGGGCTGGGACGGCTAGGGAAGGATCCAGCCCGGGCACCGTCGCAACTCACCTCGGCGCTGACCAGACGCAGGTAGCAGCAGAGAGGCAGGAAGAGCGCCCAGCAGCGATTCATGCCGACTCCGGGCCCGGCCCCGCGGGGCCCCGGACGCGTAGACGGAGCGCGCCGCCCCCGCGGCCAGGGTTGGGGGCTGGGGAGGAGGGTGGGCTCCGCTCGGGTCCGCCGCGATCAGGCTCTCAGGCCGCTGCAGCCGCCGCCGTGGCTCACCCGCATGGCCCCCGGGCGCCGCCGCCCCCGGCCCCGGCTCCGTCGCTGGGGGGCTGGGGAGGACCTGGACACGGGACCAGGGTCCGAGGCCGCTACCTGGGCGGATCCCGAGCCCACGCGAGCATCCACGGCCGGGGGGCTGCGTCGCGAACCAGCCAAGGCGTCTAGCCGTGTGGGGGCGCGCAGGGGACTCCAACCTCCGAGAGGAAAAGAAACACGACAGTCGATGGTTCGTCTTCACTCGCCTGCTAAAGGCGTGTTCCTCTGCCCGCTGGCTTAGCTTTTTTGCAACATTTTTTGGAAATGCTTCCCAGATCAGAAAGCGCAGGGCTGAGCACCTCCAAGCCCAGGTCTCCCCCAAAAAAACTTTTTTCCAAAGTTGGCTTTGCAGCGGCGGCCCAAGCACCCGGGTAGGGAGAGGTGCAAACTCCCGCCCGGGCCGGGCGGCGGGGCGGGAGCGTGTGCGCCCTGGCGCGGGGCCCAAGCGGCGGGCACGGCTGCTCCGAGCGCGCGGCGCGCCCACTGCGCGCTGGGCCGACCCGGGCCGACAGGTGGACGCGGCGCGGGTCAGTCGGTCGATCCGCCCACCAGCTCGCTGCTCAGGGCGTCCTCTGCGGGTTTCTAGCTGCGGCTGCTCCGGCTTTACTCGTTACAACGAGGCTGGGGGGTGGGCTTTTTTTCCCCTCCTTTCCCTTTTGCGCGTGTGTGTATGTGTGTGTGCGCAAAATATCTCTGGAGAAAAAAAGATGGGCGCTGGCGGCCGGAGGGGAGCCCTCAGGGAGGCAGCGGGGGAGGCAGGCAGGCTGCTCCCGGCTGCAGGAGAAGTTGCCACCCTTCAGCTGTTCCGGCCTTTATAAAGGAGAAGGGAGAGTGCTAGAGGTGGGTGGAGACAGCCTTTCCTCCCCTGGCCCCGAGTCAGCGCCGGGAGGGGGGCAGGAGCCAAGAGAGGGCCTAAGGCGAGGACTGCAGCTTAAGGGGTCTCTGAGAGCCAGGCAGCCCCTCTGGTGGTAAATCTAGCCCCTTGGCAAGTACTGAAGGCGAACCATGGCCCCACCCCTTGGCACAGTGACCTGTGTTTAGGGGCATGTCTGCAGGGCCAGGACCAAGACCAGGAGTGTAGCCCCTGAACCCCAGAACCAGACATCTGCAGCCTGGCAAAGGCATGATGATGAAGGACTGGGGCTCTGCAACCTGGCAGCTTAGATTCAGGTCCTGTCTAATTGAGTAGCTGGGTCACCTTGGGCAAGTCACTTTCTTCTGTGCTTCACCATACATTTCTTTAAATGGGGACAGGGTATTGGGTGGCTTAAATGTCAGAATGATCAGAAAGCATCCCACCGCACACCAGCCTCAAGGTTAAAACTCTTAAACCCACAGTGGGAACCCTTCAGCTACAAGCTGGGTCTGCCTCTCCTTGCTTGTTGCCTGGCACACAGAAGGCGCTGCCATGCCAGCATGGGCTGGATTTGAATTTGTTGAACTGCAAAGTCACACAAACCCCCACAGCCCTGCAGCAAGCATCCTCACAAGGCTGCCACCAAGATGCCACCATCACCAGGGTGTTTACTACCTCCCTATGTCCCCCAGTTCCAGGCCCAGAGGCCACCCACCCACACCAGCACTCTCACAGTTAACACCTTCCACCCCCAGCTCGGGGAGCTGCTGTGTCCCTGCCTTCAGCAGTCACAGTGACACAGTCATACTCACGCTTGTTGGCCCAGCACCCACCACAAGACCAGCAGGCTCACTGCATTGCCTCCTGCCTTTAGGGCACCTTGTCCTCAGCTACTTCTGCTGCCTGTCACCGCTCCTTGGTCCCCATGTCAGCCTGCAACCCCACACAAGCTGAGTGGTGCTACTGCCTCTCTTGGCCCTGAAGAGGGTGGTGCTGGGTGAAGGAGAACCTCCCAGGCCTCTTTACACATGACTCCAGGCATCCACTTACCCAAATGACCAGCTAGCAGAGTGGCCCAGTGGCTGGGAGATTGCCTGGGGCAGGTGACCTTTGGGCAGGTTATTTACCCTCTCCAGTGGCACCTTGCTTTCCTCCTCTATAACTTGGAGATGCAATTGGAGCAAAAGAGGAATTTCAATGGAGCCTGGGAAAACCATAGGGGGTTGGAAGTGTTTGCCATCTTTGTGGTTGATGATAGGTTCCTAGGATGGGGGTCTGGGGGATAGGTTTGTTGATAAAGTGCTTACATGACGACCTAAGTCTGCTCCCCAGAACTCATCGAGAAAACCCGGCAGAGCGGCACACGCTTGTAATCCCAATGCTGGGGAGGTGGAGATCGGAGCTTGTTGGTCAGCCTTTCTAATCAGTGAACTTCAGGCCAATGAGAGATTCTGTCTCAAAGGAGGTGGTCTGACTACCCGAGTTTCTCCAGTCTCCACACTCACCTGCACACATTTGCACGTATGCACACACAACAACACACACACATTAACTTTGTTTTTAACCGATACATGCAGTTGGTTGTACCTCAGCGCAGTGAAAAGGGTTTGCCCTCCTCACAGGGTTGTAGGAAGCTGACAAAAGATACTTCTCCAATGCCGGGCAGTGGTGGCGCACGCCTTTAATCCCAGCACTCGGGAGGCAGAGGCAGGCGGGTCTCTGTGAGTTCGAGACCAGCCTGAAAAAAAAAAAGATACTTCTCCATAGGACCACCACTCAGGACAGACAGATGTGCTGGGAGACAAGCTAGCCAGCCAAATTGCAAGGAGATAGTCCAACACACTAGATCCCGTGTCAAGATTTAAAACTGCTTCCACCAGACAGCTGGGTGAGCTCCCCCTTACCATGTTCGTTTCTAGGAATACAGTGATAGAGCCAGCATTGAGTGGAGCATACACACCCCCTCAGTGCTTCTGGGAGATATGTTAGTCCATTGGTAGCAGCATAAAAACTGGAGCACACAGGGACTCAGCACCTTGGACTAGTTTACATGATACCAGTAAGTGGTGGTGCCACGGCTTGGGCTCCAGGGTCCAGCTACAGAGCCCAAATCTGTAATCCACCATGCTGTACTATTTCCTGCAGGTAATGGGATGATGACCACAGTGGCACTATAATTTTTTTTTTAACCTATGTATTGGAGTTTTGTGTGGGTATGTCACATGCATGCAGTAACCATAGAGGCCAGGAGAGGGCGTCAGAGCCACCGGGCCTGAAATTACATGAGCCACCATGGAGGTGCTGGGAATTGAACCCCACTCCTCTGGAAGAGCAGCAATGTCCTTTAATCTCTCTAGCCTACCCCCCCCCCGACACACACACACACACACAAGGGCACTTTTGCACAGAGGCAGGAGAAGCAGCAGGGACTGTAGGTGCTGAGATGAATGCTGGGACAGCCCCGTTCACCTCCTTGCAGGCGAGCCTCTCCCAGGACCGTCCTCTCTCTCACCAAGATCGACAGACACAGCAGGCACCTCTTCCAGGAAGCCTGTCAGGCTTGACACTTGCTCCAGGCTCTCTGTATGCACCCCCACAGAGTTGTCTGGACACCGCTCTTGAGTTGAACATAAATGGAGGTTCTTGGTGAGTATCTGCTGGTGCAGTAAATGAACAAAAAGATACCTTGCCTGCTTCCCCCTCTCCACCCTGGCCAGAGACATCTTCTGCAGAGACACCAAACCCCTCCTAAAAGGTGGCATGCTACAAAACTCAAGCACAGGGGATCTGAGATCTAAGGTGTATCCCGTCCTGTCTGTCCATCGTGTCTCCCCCCCCCCCCGCCCCGTCACTGCTGCCATTGTTACAGAGGTGGATCTGGAGGTCTCAGACCTGGGAAGACAAGACCTGAATTCTGCATTAGGGTTAGGAAGGAACCAGATTCCCCTGTCGGGTCAGGCTAGAAATAAGAATTGACCTTGGAGTGGGGGGGCCTCACCCACCCCACACTCTGACCCATATGTGCTAAGTGGTATAGTGACTGCCAGACCTCTGAGTGCTGGGGTAGGTTTGTCCACAACGGGGGACTTAGCCAACTTTAGAGTGGGCTCAGCCCTCGTCCATTGAAACTGTCTGCTCTCGTTTGGTTTTTGTTGCAGTGATGAAACACCGTGACCAAAAGCAGTCAGTGTGGGAAGGAAAGGGTTTATTTGGTTTTCGCATCCTGATCACAATTCTTCACTGAAGGAAGTCAGGGCAGGAACTCCAGGCAGGGTCCCGGAGGCAGAAACTGATGCAGAGGCCATGGAGAGGCGCTGCCTACTGGCTTGCTTCCTTGTGGCTTGCTCAGCCTGCTTTCTTTTACAACCCAGGCCTACCTGATCTAGGCGGCACTGCCCACGGTGGGCTGGGCCCTCCCGCATTAATCATTAATCAAGAAAATGCCCCCACAGACCCGTCTGACGGAGATGTTTTCTCAGCTGAGGCTCCCTCTTCCCAGATGACCCTAGCTTGTGTCGAGTGGACCAAAAAACTGACCAGGACACCATCTACACCTGGGTGTGGTCACTTGGGGCCTGGCTGGAGCTAGGAGATGCCAAGGAAGGAGGTGGCTCCTTCCCAGGGTCTCCACCTTCAACAGTGCCTGGCAGCCATGCTTTTCCCCTGCTACAAATGACCTTGCGTCCAAGCCCTGAACTGTGCGACCGCAATGCCCATGCACTACCCCCTGTGTGTGGCAGCCATCCCCTGCCTTCCTGTGGAAGAAACCTATGATAAGACCTATGGGGCCTCCTCCCTGTTCTGCCTCACTTCAGAGCTGCCGACGGGGAGAGAATGCCATCACCCACA